GACTTTCACTTCCTGCCAGGTGAGCGATGACGTCATCCGAGAGCCTGGGCTCCGCCCACAGACTCCGCCCACCTCACTCTCTCACCCACCCACTCTCTCACCCACCCACTCTCTCACCCACCCACTCTCTCACCCACCCACTCTCTCACCCACCCACTCTCTCACCCACCCACTCTCTCACCCACCCACTCTCTCACCCACCCACTCTCTCACCAACTCACTCACTCACCCAAAAGGGGAGGAGCCACAAAAGGGGAGGAGCCACCCGACCCAGCCTGCTTGTGAGTGGTGGGTTGGGGAGAGGGAGGTGACTGGAGCTTGAGTGACAGGGGAGGGAGCCCCGCATCGAGACACAAAAGGGGAGGAGCCACTCGCTCCAGCCTGCTTGTGATTGGTGGGTTGGGGAGAGGGAGGTGACTGGAGCTTGAGTGACAGGTGAGGAGCCCTACATCGAGATAGACACAAAAGGGGAGGAGCCAGGAGGCACGAGAAACTCTTGGTGGAGAGATGACGTCATTCAACTGCTTCAGAGCCACCGCCATTTTAATATCAAACAGCGCACAGGGAGACCTGCAAGCGCTGTGGTAACAATGGACGCAGACGAAGACGCATCACCGACGCTTGCTGATGTTAGCCCATCAAACAAAGGGAGCGGCGGTGTCACGCGGCTCACCCTTCTTACAGTAGCTTTAACGTAAGATTATTTTACGGTGTTATTTTTTAAAAATATGCCTTCGATAGTAATCACTGGTCAAGACACTTTTTCTGGCATGAGGTATTCCAACGGTTTAAATGTAATTTTGGGGTGCTGATTCCAAATCTGGCATCCGTTTTTGTCTATCACATCAGGTTTTTGAGATATCAAATATTGCATTTTCGATAAAAACTACAGAAGAAAAATATGAAATAAATGTGGATATCCACATAAAATGACATTATAAACACACTATCCTAAAAAAACAGCATCATATTTTAACACTAAAGCAGTCACTGACTCGCAACCACTTGCAATCATAGGTGACAGAGTTAATTTCGGGTAAAATCAATGAAAATGGGGTATGCCGATAGCATTAAAATGAGATGTGATAGAGCAAATCTGAGATCAGATTTGGAATCAACACCCTGAAATTAGTCGGAAACAGCTGCAAAAGTCCAGGCCAGAATTTTATTTTTTGTTGACCAGTGAATTCTTTATTATAATGCATTGTCGCTTTGTATGGCATTTGATTTTATCCTACTGGTGATTTAGTCTATTAACAATGGTTTTTGTTGTATCTTTACGGCACTTTGAATGGCATCCTTTGCACGAAATAGGGACCGTCCAAAAATGACGTCACGCACCTGGGGAGGGGGGGGGGGTCAGACATTTGTGACGATGTGTGACGAGGGGGGGGGGATGAGAAACTTGACGTCACATCAAAATGCGCAACTTTAAATAAATATAGACAACACGTTCTACTTAATTAAATAGACTTTTTAATAAATGTTTTCTCCGACAACATCAGAGTGCAGCACCCCATTAAATACGCAATACATTGAGATTTGAAGCATGTTTTATTTTCAAAATGGAAATATTGTTTTGGGGGGGGGGGGGCAGAGCTTTGTGGCATCATATTTGAGGGGGGGGTCTGACTATTTTTGACGCCGTGTGACGAGGGGGGGGGGGTCAAAAATCGCGTGACGTCATTTATGGACGGCCCCATAGTGCTAAAGAAATAAATTCTTGGTTTAACACGTAGCAGGCTTTCGCGACCAATATCATTCATAATCAACGTTTTTGGGTTTAGATCGCGTTATTTATAAATGTGTCATAACCCTCCACCACCTGACACGGCCAATTGGCAAAAAAGTGTCACGTTGACAAAAGACAAATGGTTCACTACTTAAGCCCACCGGTGTGTTGAAGAGTGAATCCACAACATTTACAATTTTTTAGTACGACGTTTCACTGATAATTGCATCCAGCATCATCGGGCAATTCGCCAGAATGGTGAGGGGCTCTGCTCTGGCTCCCGGTTTTATATAGATCAGCAGCAGGGTGATGTCATCATTAACTCATCAACTCAAAATAAATACTTTATTGATTGAGTCGATTCCAATGAAGCGACGTTTTCAAGATGTCTCCCCGATCAACTCTGATACACAATGACGCTGTTGCATGCCCATTGTCTTTGTAACTGATTGGCCCACACCAGAGACCACTGCCTTCTTCAGGGTCTCGTCTCACCAGCGCACCTTGCAAAAGTTAACGATTTGGTGTTCGAACACCCTAACACACACTCCTGTATTACCGCCAGAAAGGGCATCAACTTACTCTTATTGTTCATACTTTGATACTGGCAAAGAAAGTATCACCCCGGCCTAATAATGCTCTCGATACGTGTGGCATTGCCCTGGTCCTGGTCTCTGGTACGACACTGCTGGCGAGACTTTGCTGTACAGAAGGCTCTGGTGTTTCTGGTGTCTCTGGTGTAGGTCCATCCGTTTCAAAGACAATTGTTTAAACTCTTTGGTTCTTTCGCCAGACGACGGCCGCTTGTGTTGCGATCGAAACGTCTTGATTGTTTCATTTTATTTTATTTCCAACTACGGGACTTTACCAAAAGAACCAAAGAGTATGGATTCCTGCAGTCACAAAAGCTTCAAAACATGTTCACCACCCGTACTGTGCGTGGTTAATGCATTACATGATGACGCCTTGAAAAAAGAGTAAACACATACACGACACTACTACTTTACACTACACGATACTCTACACTACTACTTTACACGATACACTACACTACTATATACTACTTTACACTACACGATATACTACGCTACTATACACTGCACCACGGGTACTGTGTGTGGTTAATGCACAATTGACGATGCCTTGCGATAGGTATCTCTTTGGTGATCTAACATCTTAACACCACTCCCGGCTTTATGGCCATTAAGGATACAAAACCCGAATATTTTCTTTAAAATCCATTTTCAGGTTCAGCTCTTGCTCGTTTTTTTTAAGCGTATTCAGAGCTACGATCGATTCCACTAAATTACATTTAACATTTAAATGTTCTACCAGCTAAAGGCCCGGCCGAGCTGGGTAGCTCATTTTCAGAACCCATGACATCCTGTTTACCAGACGAGGTAGTTAACATCTCCGAGCCACGGTGTCGTTATGATCTGGGATAGAACCCACAACCTCCTGTATACAAGGCGAGGTAGTTAACATCTCCTAGCTACCATGGGCATTAGGATCCGGGATCGAAGCCGCGACCTCCTGTACACCAGGCGAGGTAGTTAACATCTCCTAGCTACCGTGACGTTAGGATCTGGGATCGAACCCACAACCTCCTGTATACCAGGCGAGGTAGTTAACATCTCCTAGCCACTGTGGCGTTAGGGTCCGGGACGGAACCCACGACCGCCTGTAAACCAGGCGAGGTAGTTAACATCTCCCAGCCACCATGGGCGTTAGGGTCCGGGATCGAACTCACGAACCTCCTGCATACCAGGCGAGGTAGTTAACATCCCCTAGCAAGCGTGGCACTGTTGAATCTTGGTCTTAACCAGATAACCCAGAGTGAAAATACGTAACAGGAATTAAGAGGCACATCTTTACACCGTTCAGTTCCTGAGAGTGTCCATCTGTTTCACAATAGCAGGCAATGATTTAACTTTAAATTAACAATGTTTTGTATTTTGACCACGTAAGGCCCCATTGAACGACGTAGGAGCAGACCTGGCTGGCACAAACGATGGCGGCTCAACCAAGTGGCTGATATCATCGTCGGCATCATCACGCGGACACTGATGGCAGCAGACAAACACTCTGAAGTGCGCGTTTCTACAAACCCACAAAGACCCACATAGACCCATAGATACCCACAGAGATCCATATAGACCCACAAGGACCCATAGACACCCATAGAGACACACATAGACTCAGAGACCAATACAGACCAACAGAGACCCACAGAGACCCATAGAGACTCACAGAGATCCATAGATATCCACAGAGACCCATAAATACCGACAGAGACCCATACAGACCCACATATATCCACAGAGAGCCATACAGACCCACAGAGATCCATATAGACCTACAGAGACCCATAGAGACCCATAGAGACCCACAGAGACCCACAGAGACTCATACTCGTCGAGACCCATACTAAAACTATATACATGTTTTTATTTTACCTGATTAAGCCCACTGAGTTATGTAGCTGTCACAGATATAGTATAACGGACCTGATTGTCACGAATGGCAACAGCCCAACGAGTAGTAGCAGCTGATATCATCATCATCATCATCACGTGGGCATTGATTGCAGCAGCCAAAGACTATCTCTATCACTCTCTCTATCACTCTCTCTCTCGCCACCGTGGGGTGCGGTCGCACAAACGAGTTGCTCCTGCCCCTACCTGTGTGCGGATGGAGGCCTGGGCTCAGGTGAAAGCCTGAGCCCGGCCTAGAGAGAGGTGAACCTGTGTCCTTTCTTCATGTGTATTAGCCTGCGATAGTAGCAGTTTTAATACTGCTGTTGTTTATCTGTCTGTGTGGTTGTTTGTTTGTCTGTCTGTTCTTTTGTTTGATTGTTCGTTTTCTTCGTTTACGTGTCGGCTGGCTGGTGTGGTGTGGTTGGTGTGCTTGTGTGCCTGTGTGTTTGTTGGTGCGGTTGTTCGTTTGTTTTTCATTTGTTTGTTTGTTGGATTGTTCGTTTTCTTTGTTTGCTTGTCGGCTGGTTGGTGTGGTGTGGTTGGTGTGTTTGTTTGTCCGTGTGTTTGTTGGTTTTGTTTGTCTGTCTGTCTGCCTGGTTGTTTGTTCGGTTGTGTGCTGTTGTGTTTGGTTTGTGTGGGGCTTATTACTTCTTTGCTTTTTTAGTACGTTTTTTTTTTCTCACAATAGCCGGGGGTGCCGCCCTGAGTTTCTCAGCATTATCATGACGCAGTACCCCAGGCTAGAGTGTCTGGCGAGGGGGAACGGGGTAATCTGTTTCCCGCCGCCCAAGACCACAGCCGAGGCCGTCGCAGAGGCGGTAGCCGAGTGCGTGGGCTATGCCGGTGTCCTGATCGCGCAAAGGCAGGACCGCGGCGTGGTCGTGTACGTGGAGAAGAAGGGGATGGTGGCAAGCCTGGCAGAGACGGGGATCACCGTCAGGGACGTGTACGTACAGTGCACCTCGCTCTCAACACCAGCCACCCGGGTGATCATCTCGGGAGCCCCCCCTTTTCTAAAAGGCACGACACTGAAGCAGGACCTCCAACGGTTCGGGACGGTAGTATCGAACGTGACGATGCTGCCACTCAGAACTCGGAACCCGAAGCTGGCGCACGTGATGTCCTCACAATGCCAGGCGTATATAATCCCCAAGGACGGGACAGCGGACGTGGACTTAAACTTTAAGTACACGTTAGAAGGGCACACCTAGACAGTATATGCATCGTCGGCGGCGCCACGATGCTACGGGTGTGGTGGCACAGGGCACACCCGCAGGGTTTGCCCGAAGGAAAAGAAAGTAAAGACGGTGCCACCCAAGGCAGCACCACCGCGGGGGGCAGAAGGGCCACAACAACGGCCGCAGCAGGCACCGCCACCGCTGCCGTTGTGACAGCGGCAACAGGCGACATCGCCGCCACCGCCGCAGCAAATGCCGCCGCCGCCGCCGCCTCCACGGCGGCAGCAGCAGCAGCTGCAGCAGCTGCAGCAGCAGCAACAGCTGCAGCAGCAGCTGCAGCAGCAGCAACAGCTGCAGCAGCAGCTGCAGCAGCAGCAACAGCTGCAGCAGCAGCAGCAGGAGGGGGAGGGCGTACGGCAGCAGCGACAACAGCAGGAGCAGCGACACCCTCCCGCCGACGATGAAGTAGCCTGCGATAATACGATGGACGACGACGGGGAAGGGGAGTTCACCGTCGTCGAGACGCGGACACGGAAAAGGAAGGCCAGGAGGGACACTGCAGAGAAAGGAGGCGGTGGCACCCGGCCGAAACGCATCGTGGCCACAGCGACGGCCGCGACCAGAGGTGAAGGCAGCTGCAGTAGCGGCAGCAGCGACGAGCTGCACGGCCACCGCAGCGCAATAGCAGCCCGCGGTGACGGGACCGAGCCGCAGGTGTCCGCGAGGGCGACCACTAATGGAGCCGACTCGCTTGACGGAAACAGAGGGGAAAAACGACCACCCGAGCTGGACCCGGCCCCCCCCCTCCCCTAGAGGGAGAAGGAGAAGAGCCGGACGCTGCAGAAGTGCTCGTCAAACACACGGGGCTCGGAGACAACACCCCCCCCCCCCCTCCGCCCGACAGAGCACGAGAGGGGAAAACCATGGCGGAGAGCCAGATTGGACTCGGGAGAGCCTCGGAGCAACCCGACCCAACCGAAAACTATGAGGCCATAGAGGAGAATGCGGACGACGCGGAGGCGGTATACGAGGTGGACGGAACCGTGAGCGAAACAAGCTACTCCAGCGTGGCGACAGAACGGGAGTACGCGCCCGAGGAAATCCGTTCTCACCTCAAGCAAAGTTACAACAAGCGGAAGATCGTACATGCAGAGGTTTTCCCCGACACAAAGGGTTTCTTGAAGACGACCCAGAGAATACTGAGCAAACCGGAGTCGTACGCCTTCACAAAGCAGGAGGTCTTCCGACTGAAGAAAATAGCGCAAACAATGAAGAACGAGCAGCTCCTTCCAAGACCCCCCCCTCAGGGTCGATGTAACGATTGACATTTAAAACCGCGATGGCCCTTAACATCAAAATCAAGATTGCAAGCCTAAATTGCAATGGAGCCAGAGGTGACGAGAGGTGGCACCGTATTCGCATCTTTGCGGACGAACACAAGGTGGACGTGACGCTCCTGCAGGAGACCCACCTCGACGCCTCTCTGCACAATCAGCGACAGCACTTTGATAACACCCCAGGATTCTTTAGTCATGGGGAGGAACATCATGCCGGCGTTGCGATCCTGCTCAGACAAGGGTTCACCCCGGAGGGACTGGTGTACAAGGAAATTCTGGCAGCACACCTAATCTCTATGGACTTTGTACACGGTGGCATGAAGTACAGAATTATAAACGTGTACGCACCCAGCAAGAGCAAAGAGAGAGAGGTGTTCTTCACCAACGCACTCCGCTGCACGTTAATAAAATGCAACGAGGAGGAAGTAATAGCAGTCGTAGGGGGCGATTGGAACTGCACCCTAGACCAAGCACTTGACCGAAACGGCCCGGAACCACACCCGGAATCCGCACGTCCACTCGCAAAAATTCTGCGACACTGCGGCTTCACGGACGCGTGGAGGCTGCAACACCCGTCCCAACGACAGTACATATGGCACCGCGGGTCTGCCCAAGGGAAAGTAAGCCTAGCCAGACTCGACAGAATATATATAAACAAAGAAGGGGTGAACCAGCTGAGCAACAGTAGAATAGATTCATCGGGGTTCTCCGACCATCATCTAATGTCGACGTCGCTGCAAGTCTATGGAGAGTCGCGCCGATGCCCCTACTGGCGGTGGACGTGGAGCAGTTGGACGAGAAAGCGTTCAAGACGGCTTTCGTGGCCTGTTGGCCGCACTGGAGGAAGGAGCAGACAGCCTCCGGCTCCAGTTCCGGCCTGCAGAGATGGGAGACCTTAAAAACACAAGTGCGAGCGCTCAGCCTGCAACTCGCGGGACAGAGGGCTGCCGTCAAACGCGACATGGTGGGGCGCCTGGCAGACGAGCTTCTGTGACTTGAAGCCGAGATAGGCGCAGCAAAGGACGCGCACGAGGACAGGGCTGAGCCGCTCCTCCTCCTATTGGAACGGCGTCAACTCTTCAGAAACGTCACAGACAAACAAGCGCACACCTCCTTCATAAGGAAGAGGATGCAGCACCTCACACACACAGACTCGCCTTCAAAATACTTCTTTAGACTCAGAGAAAGCAGCAAAACCACCTCCGCGCCCTCACGCAATGGCAACGCCATCATAAGCCTGTCCACCGATGAAGGGACGACGACAGACGAAAAAGAAATCAGGGAAATCGCCACGCGATACTACTCTGACCTGCTCCAGAGTGAACATACGCAGCAGGAAGTGGTCGAGGAGCTCCTGAAAGGAAACGCCACCCTAGGATGTGAGGAAAGGGAGAGGCTGGGGAAGCCCTTTACCGTGAAAGAGCTGCGCGTCGCCATGGAGGGGCTGCCGAGAGGGGAATCGCTGGGAATTGACGGACTGCCGGTGGAATTTTATGCGGCGTTTTGGGATATGCTCGGCCCTTGTCTGATGGAACTGTTAGAGGAAAGTCTAAGAAGGGGAGAGATGCCTCTGAGCTGCAGGAGAGCAGTGATAACACTGCTGCCAAAAAAAGGCGACCTGCAGCAAATTCGGAACTGGCGACCCGTCTCGCTGCTGTGCACAGATTACAAGATCATCGCCAAGGCTGTGGCGAACCGCCTAAAGATGGTGGCAGGGCTCATCATACGGAGCGAACAGACTTATTGTGTCCCGGGTCGCAGCATTCATAGCAACATACACACCGTAAGGGACATCATATCCGTGGCCGAAATGCAAAACATGGCGGTGGGGCTACTCTTCATGGACCAGGAGAAAGCCTTTGATAGAGTAGACCATAGGTATCTGGAGAAACTCCTGCTCTCTCTCGGCCTCGGCACCGCCTTCACAAAATACGTCAAACTACTGTACGCCAATGTCCATAGCATGCTTAAAATAAACCAGCGACCGAGCCGGCCCTTCCCTGTGACAAGGGGAGTAAGACAGGGGTGCCCCCTGTCAGGGCTCCTTTATGCGCTGTCGCTAGAGCCGCTCCTCAAGAGCCTAAGGAACACCCTGACCGGGCTGGACATTCCTGGACCCGGGGAGACGAGCGTCAAACTTTCGGCGTACGCAGACGACGTGTGCGTGGTAGTTAGGAACCAAGACGACGTCGCCGCGCTGAGCCGAGCTGTAAGGAAATACGAAAGAGCCACGAGTGCCAAAGTAAACTGGCAGAAGTGCACGGCGCTGAGGGTCGGACCACAGAACCCCACACAGTTAGAGACCCTTCCGGGCGGGGTAACGTGGCGGGAGGACGGGGTCCGATACCTCGGAGTGTACCTGGGCAACCTGCAAACAGTCCGGAGAAACTGGTCGGACCTGCTCGAGAGGCTCGAGGCAAAGTTGGGAGCGTGGGAGCACCTCCTACAGCACCTGTCTTTTCGGGGGAGGACACTGGTCGCGAACAATCTCGCTGCCTCAATATTGTGGCACACAACGAAGGTCCTCCAGTCCCCCAGATGGGTGATCGAAGGCGAACAAAGCGCTCGTCGACTTCGTCTGGGCAGGTAAACACTGGATGAGACCGGGTGTCTTGCACCTGCCGTTGGACGAGGGCGGGCAGGGACTCACGGACGTCGCCGCCCGGATTATGGTGTTTCGCCTCCAAGCTGTAAAGAGCCTGCTCTATGACCCGGACGAGGCACCGTGGAAATCACTGGCCGCCGCCCTGCTGAGGCACGCGGGGGGACGGTTGGGATACGGGAAAGAACTCTTCCTAGCGGACCTCGCCCGCATCGACTGCACAGGGCTCCCCCTGTACTATCGCAGCGTAGCAGAGGCGTGGCGGAGCTTGGAGTGGAGGAGAGAGAACCCGTACGGTGGCATAGGCGCCTTCATGGAAGAACCACTGTTCTACAACAACCTTTTTACAGACCTCCGGCAAGAGAAGACAATGGCACATCGTTTCGCCACAGCCGGAGTGCGGGCGGTCAGGGACCTTGTGGAAAACCGCGAGGGTGGCCGCAAATGGAAAAATGCGGCCGAAATAAGCCGAACCGTAGACCTTTGCACTGCACTGGCCGGAGGAAAAATACTGCGCGCGACACTCACGGTGGCCAAAGCCCTGCACCTACACTTGAACGCACCAGACGACATAGGCCACGATCGCACGTCCCCTCCCGCCTTTCCGGAGCTGCGCATCGCCAGTGTACAGCCCGCTGGGCGAAGTGACATGGGGATGCTGTTAAAACTCGAGAACTGTGAGAGCGGCGCCCTGAAGAGTGCCTCCAAGAAGGCGCTGTACAATTGCTGCGTGAAGGTTCTACACCGGCGAGCCCTTGAGGACCTGCCCTGCATGAAGTGGGCAAAGGTGTTCCCCCCACTGATTGATGTCACCCCTCAGTGGGCTGAGATGTACAAGGCCCCGGTGGCAAAGCGAAGCGGGGACCTCCAATGGAGGTTGGCCCACTGGACCCTACCCTCGGCGGCGTGGGAGGAGCGAGTCAACCCGGGAGCATCCGACGCGTGCATCTTCTGCGGCCAGAGGGAGGACCTCGCCCACATGTATATAAAATGTCGGAGACTGGCACCGCTCTTCCAAACGCTAAGGATTGTCTTTCAGAAATTAGAGATACCTTTTTTCGAAAGCACGCTCGTGTGCGGGGTGCGACGTAGCGTAAATAAACGCCACACGCTGGCGAATTTCGTTGTCGCACAAGCTAAACTGGCGATTTATAAGACATGGAAAAAGGGAAGACTCAAAGACGACACAAACCCAGACAGCAACTGTTCGACAGTGGCAATGATGAGGGGCCTAATAGGAGCGAGGCTCCACTTGGAGCATGAATACTATGGCC